TTGTTTAAGGTTTGGATTTATTTGTGGTATTTTTCCTTTGAATATTCTGCGCACGGATGTTTTTTTGGTTTTTTTTTGTCTGTAACTGCTGTCATGCTGCAATTTCTTCTCTACATGTGCAGTTTAAAGCATGTTTATTTGCTTCAGGTTGTCTTTAAACTGCTTTTTACTCATGTATATTTGAGCTATGAGCTTGTATATTATGTTTAAAAGCGTCTTTAACCAGATGTAACAACGCACAGCTGTAAAGGAGCTGTGAAAGATCAGTTTGAGGCTGTTTTTGGGCACTGATCTGCTGTTTTTCCCTGCCCAACATCTGGATGTGAGCCGGGGCCCTGGGCTGTGTTTGTGTGCTCTGACGGCCGTCCTCTTCTCCCCCGTCTCCCCAGACACGGCCTCCATCGCTTCTTCTCCTGCCGCGGCATCGCTCTGGCCGTGGAGACCTTCTGGAGGAGGGGCCACAGGGAGATCACCGTGTTCGTCCCCCAGTGGCGGCAGAAGAGGGACCGGCTCACAACAGGTACGGCACATCTGGACTCAGAAACCGGGAGACCCTGTGTCACACAGTGAACTCGGACTTTAAAGCTACCCGGTGCAGGAATTCCTCCATCTAACGGTGAAAACGTATCCTGCATCTTAACAAATCGGCCCCCCGTTGCTTCCCTTTTCAAATGGGTATTGCAGCTATGGTAGCCGTCAGGAATCAAGAAGTAATGACAGCATGACTTCCACATCATGGAGTTTTCTCTGGTGATGAGGTTTGGAATTTAAAAGAAAATACAAACTGCATTGAATCATTAGTGTGAGCGTGTAATTACTCCTCCAACAAGATAGAGTTACGTTTCCATGTTTGGAAGATTGTTTTTTAAGCTAGACAGGCAGACTAGTGCTTTATGTCCCTCTCTGCCATTATAGTTTTTCAAAATGGCAAGGAAATTCTTCACTTATGAAGTCAGATCATTGAAGAGGTCATTTTACACCAAATGAGGACACATTTAGAAATTATAAAAAATTATTTTAGCTGATAAAATACTTAAAATACTACACAATGTCCCTTTAAGGGCCGGGGCGCTCTGTGTGAGGCCACGCAGGAGTAAAGGCAACTTGCTCTTCTTCTTGGCTCTTGAAAGCGTTCCTCCTCTCGGCTTATAAGCAGAGACTCTGCGACTTCTGCAGGCCACCGATTGGCCAGGGAGTCCTTTATGAGGAGCCCATGACTTTCAAAAGCCTAGAGGCGGCTGGCTGTGCTGATCTCACACTCTGAGTCATGGAAAAAGGGCGTTCGACAGACTTCAGGTGAGAGTGACTAAAGGTGACTAAAGGCAGCGCCTGGAGGGCTCAGAATACTCTTTAGGATTCCCCATTCCTGAAGGGCTGGAAATGTGGGTGATTTCCAGGATCTAAAAGCAGCTCTGGCTGCCATCAGAGCCGAACAGGGACAGGCTGCGGATTCCTGATTCACGCCCCAGAAGATGACACCAAAGTGGCTCAGCAGGCCGGCAGCAGTGGAGTGATGCTGATGGTCCCTCTGGGCAGGAGGCCATTCTGAGGGAGGGGAACAGGGAGGAAAGGCCAGCTCTGATGGAGGGATGGATCCTCAATCCCACGATGTTTTGATACACCAAAAACAGCAAAAAAAAAGCTTAAAATGACCAAAGATACAACCAAACAAAGCAAAAACAAGGCTAAAATGACCAAATATACAACAAAAAAAGAAAACGCAGAGCTAAAATGACCAAAATGGAGCCGGAAGTAGAGCTAAAACTACCTAAAAATGGAAAAAATTAGCTACGGTGACCTAAATAG